GATTAACCGACTGAGCCATTCAGGTGCCCGTCATTCAACATCTTTGGAACACTGTGTGCCACTTTTCCCAAGAAGGCCAAATTTGCTCTCCCAGCTTCCTTTACAGTTAGAGTACAGGTATATGACTGAGGCTTTAACAATAGACACAACCACATAGAAGTTTGACGCCCAAGAGAGCAATGTGAAGAATCCATCTTGGGCCACTCTGAGAAAATAGGGCTCCGCCTTCCAGAGACAGTAAAGGCAGAAGGTTCTGATAATCAAGTGCCGGTGGGTGGCTGTAGTATCATCACTGGAACAGTTCTAAAGAGAGATCTGGGCATTATTCCTAGCTGGCCGCCTTCTAGGTAAAAGGTGAGTTCTGTTACTTGCAACTATGAACCATGCCTGATAATGCAGAACACATACTTAAAAAGCAAAAACAAATTTACAACATCCTTTAGTTTTAAAAAGACCAAGGACCTAATGTTTTCATTAGCTCCTAGTCTACAGATCACTTACCCAGTAGCTTCAAATTAAGAAGCCAAGTATCTGTGAAACGTCTCTTCCCTAGAACATTTTATCTATTTTAAATATAAGTTAAAGAATGAGCTCTGTTAAAATAGGTCTTAGTTTTATGTGCAGTTACACTGGAATCACCAAAGTCAAAGCATTCCAAATACGTAAAATCAAATACAGCTGAATCCCACTACCCTGGCTTGCCGGAATCCTTAGGAAGGTTTTGTGGATGATGATTCTAAACTCATCTAAAATGTTTATCCTAGGCTCCAAAGCTTTCGGTTTAAGCCCAAAGTGTAGTCAAGTTCACTGCCTACTGTGAAAGGATTAAGGGATAATGTCATTTCCATTGCTCCTTCTCTTGTTCTTGGCTACAAAAAGCAGCAAAATATACACATTTATCCTGCAGTTTTATGATTAGAAAGCACTGCAGCAGGTGGATTTTACTAATGAAAAGATGCATTTACTTTGGCATCTAGGTATTGAGTAGAAGGCTTTCTAGTCCAGCGGTTCTCAGAGTGTGGTTCCTGGGCAGCAAGATCACTTGGGAACTTCCTGGAAATCCCTATTCTTAGGCCCCACAGTCAATGTACTGAATTGGAAATTCTGGGGGTGGGGCTCAGAATTCCATGTTTTATAACCTGTTTTGCTGATCTTCATGCATACTCATGTTGGAGAGCCACTTTCTTTGGAAGCACAACGAAACCACACCAATCAAAGGAGAATCTACTTCTGAGAAGGGAAGAGAAAGATGTGTCTCCTTAAGAACACATTTCAGAATATTAAAGGAGTTCTCCCTAAAACTATCCTAACTTCTCATGTAGCATTAACTCATTTCTTCTTCTACAGAGGGGATATAGGATTCCTGGTTACTTTGGGCCAATACAAAACTTCTCCTGGGACCACTAGACCTCAAGTACCCTTTAATATTCTCCTTGGGCTAAATAATCCTAGTTCTTTTTATCTTTACTTAAAACTCTTCATCATCTTCCTCAAGCTCCAGAATAAAGGAAAATCTCTTTTTACCATTCAAATGGATTAAAATGAATGGTTATATTCTTATTCTTAGAATTCTTATATTCTACCTATATTTTAAAGTTTACAATGTACTAAAAACAAATCAAATTTTAGGTCTATCATTTCAAGATATTCTGAATCCTCACCCTCACCCCATTCTTCCTAAAAAAATGAAAGTTTTAGTTCATTGTAAGGTCACTAAGTATTTCACATATATTACATTAAACATTCTGATCCTCATTTGCCCTATTAAATAAGAATTGACCAGATGGATATTCCTCTGACTCTCTCTCCTGAGCAGGTTTTAGTTAATTAAAAATGATTATTTTTACTACGTATTTTATATATTGGCCAGATGTTACCTGTGGTCATTTCTGGAAAGGATCATTTGGTGGTGGTTATAAAATATATATTTTCCTTTGGGAAGTGAGACTCTTGAGCACAATCAGGAAAACAAATGTGGAAATTGATTATACCTCACCTTTTTCTTAGTGCCAAAAATGGGCATAACGTTTCATTTCCTTTGAAAGTACGACCTTTTCAAATTCTTCTATCTCCACTCTGACCCTATTTATGTTGGGTCAAAAAATTATCAGGTTGGTAGAAGAAAAATTAATATTGGTTTCTCTCTGTACTGGAAGTGTAACTTTTTTTCCCCAAAGAAACCGATTTGGTTTCTATAGATTTGGTTTATGTAAGACATCTATATATGGCATAGGAAACTGCTGTGCTCCATCAGGGCTGACACTGTCAGATCTTTGTGTACAGAGGATGGGACTTCCAGAGACTATTTCCAACAGTCATGCTTTTCTACAGGTCTCCTTAGAAGCTATTTTTCATGCAAACTCATTTGCCTAAATTTCCCGCTAGTGCTGAAATAATCTAGAATGAGGCAGAGATACTGTAATTATGAAATTGTTTTGTGATTGCACTAGTCATTTTCTCCCCCATTTGTAGACAAACCAGACTCAAAACAAGCCCCTTCTCTTTTTTTGTCCTTAAAAAAATAAACACAATAAAGCAACATTCTTTTTTTTTTTTCAACTTTCTTTTTTAGAAAAAGATTTCAATGTGTGAGGTCACCCAAAATTCAGACAGCCTAACAAATGAAATTAACCACACCATCATCTGGGCTAAATGTAGATGGTTGGTCTTCTCCAAAACACCATTTAGAAGATTATTAAGAGTCAAAAGTGAGTCTTTTGAAAGTCTGAATTTTATACCCCGACAAACATAATGTTAGGTGTGGTGGTGTGTATAAACAGGAAAGAAACTTTCAATTCCAGTACCCTGGCTATGGTTTGTAAAATATTTCATGGACCAATATTCCAAAATAGACCTAAAGGGGGCACTTGGGTGGCTCTGTCAGTCGAGTGTCTGACTCTTGATTTCAGTTCAGGGAGTCTGCTTAAGATTCTCTCTCTCTCTCTCTCTCTCTCTGATTCTCTCTCTCTCTCTCTCTCTCTCTTTGCTCCTCTCCCCAAATCACAAGTTCCCTCTCTCTCTCTAAAAAAAAAAGATAAAAAAGATTAAGAACTGAAATAAATAAAAACAACAATATGGACATAAATTCTAGTCTCAGCTCTGACTTTCAACATGGTCTTACTTATATAAGTGACACCCCATGTTGTTTCTTTTCTTACATAAAAAATGACAGAAATACATATTCTCTGAAGTCTCTTTGAGCCTACAAATTACATGATTCATGGTCTAAAAAAGTAACTTTTAAGGCCTAATATGCTTTACTGAAGAACTGGGACAATTAGGGTGGGGGTTGCTTTATTAACCTGCTGGCTTTAAACACAAGACCTGGCCCTCACTTCCTGGTTGTTATACAGCATCTGCTCCCCATGTTCTGAAGCACACAAATCTGCTCGTAGTAAATCACAGTCACCTCAAAAATGACCTTTTCCTCTTACGTTTTGATAGTAATCAACATTTACTAGGGTCTTCCTATTAAAGTCATCTGTGTTACATTTGATTTCAAGAGCCGGGTATGGGGCAGACATTCCTGATGAAGAGCCTGATAGTCCTTGGAATAAATTGTCCCCCAAAATATAAGATTACATACCTTTAGATCAGGCCATGCTCATCAGCCTCTAATAGGTCTGAGGGACTCACAGTCCTAATTTCCTACGTGAATCTGTAATTGTCCGCAGGGGTCAATTTCAGTGGACGCCTCATATAAATTAGAATTGAAGATAATGATGCCGTTCACTTGATCAACTAAAATGACCAGCTGGGTTTAATGGGAGGAAAACAGAAACCCCTGTGAAATTGGAACAGCTTCAAAGGTGATAGAATGTAATTATTTTTCTGCAAAGTTTCTTCTCTAAAGGTGACTGGCCATTGTGCTGTGGGCACCTGGGCCGGCACGTTATGAAGGTGGATATGGCATTCAGAGCAACCAACCATATCCAAAGGCGTAAGTCAAGAGTTAGCTTTCTGCTAAGGCACGAGGGAAAAGCAGGATTTCTTCTCTGTTCTTATTTTAGTCATTTCATTTACAGTTGGAGAGGTGCTGTGGGGACCTGCCTAATTGATTCCCGAGAGGCAAATTCTAATTTAGATTGCTCCAAAAGTGTTTTCTCTTTATAGCCATAAAACATTTTCTAGAATTTGTTGTAATTACCCTCGGGGTAATATAATTTTAGGTCGGAAAGAACCTGGAGGTCACCTGGCCAACCCCTTTCTTTTATAGATGAAGAAGCTGAGGACCAGAGATGTGAACTGACTGAACCAAGGTCATAAAACAAAAAGAAGAAGAGCCTGGCTAGAATTCAGCAATGAGACGATGAAACCAAGATGGATGCCCAGTGTGTGGTTTCCCACTTACGAGTAGCTGGAGAGTCGTTCCGGAAGGATAGAAGATTCTCTCCATAAAAATCCCCATTTAAGAAGACTTAGGAACTGTAATTCACAGACGTGCCAGCAAGCGAAAATAGCAGAGCTGGAAAGCTGGGAGAGACAAAGAGCAAAGGCACGAGTAGACCACAAAGCAGATGACCACCCGCAGAGCGGACAGGGAGCTCTGACTAGGTGTCTGTGTGTGCTGAGGGACAGTGACCCACGGCGTGACTGCACAGTCTGGGTCTGAGTCCTGACTCTGCTAATTCCAAGCTCTGTGATCTCTGACAAGTTGCTTAAGCTCTCTGTGCCTCAGTCCCTCATCTGTATAAAAAAGGATGATAATATCAGTTCTGACTGTTATAGGGATTAAACACATTAATCTATGTAATTAATCTATGTAATCAATCTATTAAATACATTGATCTATGTAAAGAGCTTAGCACGTATTAAATGCTACATTAGTCTTTGCTGTTCTCCTCCAATCACTACGCTAGAAAATTGTAAATGTTTCAGAATATGTACATAAGTTGTACTCATTAATAAGGTCACGGAGGTGTTTTATGATGTAAATACACAAAGGCTGTACGAGAGAGATTCAGAAAGTCATTGATAAAACCTTTTTATATATTTAACGGATTACTTTTTCAGTATGTACTGTTACAATTGAAAGGTTTTTTTCCAAAACAATAAACTACAGAGAGATTTTTATAAAAGACAACAGCCATAATATCATATAACAGTATCAGAGGTTTCATTAGCAAAACAATTAATAAAAGAGCGTATCTGTTGTAAAAATTAAAGACAGATTTTCATGGCAGGAAATTAGTGCCAAGCCAGTGATTCCTGAAGTCATTAGAGTACGGCCAGAAGCTCTGGAATGTGGCATTTTCTTTGGCTCAGGCACATTTCTCGGGCCATCTAGAATTTTTTTCCCTCAGAATTTAATGTTGTCAGAGTTATCATTAATATTTTACGCAGAATTTTTAGGAGGAAATCTTCACAAAATTAACAATACAGATCATCAAGTAATTAGGACCATTTCAGATGTGCCTGAAAAGAATACCATGTATGGGTTAGTTATTTTTTTCCTTTTATTCTTCAAATTAAACTCAGTGCAAGTTCAAAGGGAAAAAAAAAACCCATCAGTTACCTATTCATTCCCTCATATTTTAACTAAATAATTTTACCAGCTATGTGGAAAAACACATGTTAAGGGACTTTTCTGGAATTGGTCGCTGATTTAAGACATCGGTAGATCGTGATAAGCCGCGTATCTTCCAGTCACGTGATGGTAAATCTGTGAGGAAAATCAGAATTCAGTTAATTAATAAGTATTATATAGCATATATATCAATACTTATACTCTTAAATAATAATTAGTAATTTAATTAATGTTTCCTTCTAAAGCCCAAAATGCACATCAGTAGACTCTCCAGTCAGGCTACTGCTGGTGGAGGTTTGCTTGGAAGAAAACAGAACTTTGGGTACAATGAGGTAAATCAGATGAGTTTTTATCTCCAGTTCTCAGAGCCCAATAAGAGCTATTCATTTCTTTCTCAAAAAGAAACTTGTCAGTTTGTGCCAAGGACAATGGATGATTACTCACCTGCCTCTCGATGTCTGAAAGCAGGGTACTGGCACCTATTCGAAAGAGTTCTGGCGTCAGCCATTCGTCTCCCAGCTCTTCTTTTATGAGAGAGAGCCAGGCAAGGGAATCCTTTGCACTGCGGATGCCTCCTGCTGGTTTAAAGCCGATCTAAAAGGGAAGGTGGGAAAGAGAACAATGCTTGTTACTGTTGTGCCTTAAAAAATGGTACTGCGTTAATACAGGGTCTCGATTCTCCTTCTCTCTCTCCTTCTCTTTTTTCAAGTCTATTTCACTGTACCCAGCAAAAGAGCTTAGATAACTGGCTCATGCCCATTCACACTACAAAATGACTTCTCCAAGATTAATGGGAAGAATGTCACTGCTTCTGAGGAGACACTAATGAGCGTTAATAACCCTCATTAACATTGCACTTATTGGAAAGTCATAAACCTCAACCACCTAAACTATAGCTGTGAACCGGGGATACATAAGAGAGGTGTCAATAAACAAAGAAAACAGATACCACAAAAGCCGTTCATTCCACATTTCTACAAGTGAGCCTGGCTAGTCACCTTTCAGCCTTTCATCCTGAGGTGCAAAAGACACATACACGTATTCAAAATAAGAAGAGGGAATCAGCAAGGCCACACCAACCAAACTGGCAGCAATGAGGGAGGGGTGTTGACAATTGTTTTCATCAACGTAACTACAGGGACTTTCCTCCAAGTTTTAAGGAGAAAGAGTTTTACAAAGCAGCCAGACCACTTAAGTAAGTGCAGGAGAAAAAGATAGTGTAGGAACTCTTCACAGGTCAGTAGTCTTTGAAGGTGAACATTAAGAAAGCACAAGTGAGCCAGTATCTGAAGTTTACAAACGATGTCCCTGAGTCCATTAGAAATGGATAAATGTGTTCTATAAACAGTAAAACCTGCTTATCTGGATTTACTGGTCTCATGAACTTGAATCCTGTAGTAGAGACCATCTATAGATGGGAACAATCAAGAAAACACTCCATAACCCAAGTACAGCTCAGGAGTGTTCGAACACTAAGAGCTGTTGATTCCATAGGTAGCACCAGCTACGGGGTTAACTACTAAAGAACGCTAGAGAAGGGAGACGATAAATGCAAGGCCCCATAACTAACCCAAACCAGAAGACTCAGAGTTAACCTAGACTCCGCCATTTTCCCCACCACACCAAACCCAATCAATGAATAGTCAAGTCCTACTAATCTCTCCTGTATCTCCCACACATATACTTCCTCTCTGCTCTCACTTCTGCTGTTTTAGTTTAGACCCTCATTGATTGTCATATGGAATACCGGTCGTTCTTACCAGTTTCCCTGCCTCAGGTACACAGGGCCACACGACTAGGCAGCAGCTGTACACTGATCCTCACTCTATCTATTACTCTGGAGCTCAAGTGGCTCTGAGAGAGGGCAGGGAGATGGGGTGAGTTGGGGAGATAGACAGGATGAGCTTATTTCTTGAGAAGAAGCCCCCCATATCAATTAGCTGGTATTAGCATACATGTTAATCATAGGAGCATTGCTGTCCATTAGGCAGTGCTGCATATAGATTTTTCTATATAGTTCAGTTGTGTCAGCAAGTCTGTTTGGCAATGTTTCTAAAGAGAGGTTCTAGCGTAAGTTTATCCTTTTTTTCGTAAGGGAGAGAATATGGAAAACATAAATCTGCAATGAAATCAGTTATGAAATATTAAACCTCTGCTGCTCAGAGTGACACTAATCATGGTCTGGAAGACGGCCCATCACATTTTAAAACACCCCTTAAATCAATGATGTAGAAAGTTTACGGTCTAACGGCTGCCCAGGCAACTTGTCAACAACCTGAAAGGATGCACCTGATTTGTAGACACAGACACAGATCCTCACCGTGTGAAATCAAACGTGATCATAATGAAGATGATTTGACTTGTATCTGTGTGTTGTTGGTAAAACCGGGGTGAACTTTGTTGAAGAGTCAATACAAGCAAAAGGAAAGTACTTGAAGACAGCAAAGAGTCCCTTCTACTGTACAATGACCTAGGATATTGAGCGCTTAAAACTTTTATTGAAATTCTTTGCTTATCGTCTACGAGCTCTCCTGGGAAAGGATTTGTTCATTTTGTATCCCTGTTAACACGGGTTAACATGGCGCACAGTTAACCACTCAATAAATGTTTGCTGAGAACACAACAGGATTGGGTCTCTAGTGGTGAGTTTTAATCCTGACTCTAGAGTTTATGAGACACACAGATGCCCGAGGATTACCCCTGATGCAGAAGTGCTAGGGATGAGAACCCAGGCATTGAACATCTTATTTTGTTGTACTTTGGCACAAAATAGGAACTATTGGTCTAAATGAAGGCTGGTGGTCTCAGGGGGGAGGACCAGAGAGAGTTCTCTTTTTTACAGCTAAACTTTTTCTTTAATTCGGATCAATGCAGAAAGGCTACCAAGAAGAGGTTACTCAAACTGAGTCAACTATCATAAGGAAGGTCACAGTAGACAGTGCTCCTATTCGTACTTTTTTAAGATATGAAATTATTCTGAAGGAGAAAATTCTGGAAGAAGTTCATTTCCTCTGAAACCCAGTACATTCTAAAAAAGGGCTCCAATTCCAAAATGAACTGAAGGTACAGTCACATATAAAGTCATCACATCCAGTTGGCATAGGATTAAAGGTCTTTTTTCGGGTGTCCATTCGGCAGTGATCCAGAGATCAGCTTTTAAAGATGCCTTCTGAAGAAGGGACAGTCTCATTAAAAAAACAAAACAAAACAAAACAAAACAAACAACCTTTCTCTGCAATGGTGTAAAGAAAAAAAATCCTTTGAGATAATTTGCAGCTAAACAAACAACTTGAAGCAGAAAGGAAAATCCAAACTCATTTAAAAAAAACACCTCATACGCATTTTTCTTTTTAACTTCCTATGTTTCAAAAAAAATATGTATTATTTTGCAAAAAGCTGACAAAAGCTGGCACATACCCTCCTCAGCTTAACAGTCTTCCAAAGAGTACATCCAACTGCCATAAAACGCAAAAATGGATATTTAATTCAAGAGCTATATAACGTCTAGCTACCTTTCCCCTGCTGTTTCACAGCATTTCATTATTTTGTTTAATAAGTTCATCTCCTCGAGAATTTTCTCTTCACCTCATATTATTAAAAGTAATAAGTTTTTCTGGACCGGGGGTTTCCCAACAGAAAAACCAATTTATGTGTGTCCTTCAATAATGACAGGAAAAGATTATTTCCCATTATATTGCATACTTTTCATATCACCACCACAGCTTATCATTCAATAAATGTTACTCTGCAATTCTTTCCATTCCTCAAGGAAGTTTAATTTCTGCATTAACCTGTTTTCGCTGGCCAACGCCTTACCAGAAAGCCTCTGTGTTGCAGCAGAATTAGTTCGTTAAAGAACCCATTTAGGAATCTCTTGTCAGTGATAAAATTGTCTTCAGTTAATAAAAGGACATAAAGTGAGTTTACATCTTGATCACACATACTTACTCCCACACTCACACTCACTTTCTGCTAATCGCACATTTTTCTCCATGAATGTGTTCTTTTGCAATGAAAGGTAAATTAAACATTTATCTTAATAAAGGTAACTCATTCACACCTTCTGCATACAAAGACAATTTTTGTGGCTGTAACTGGTATTATAAATAACATTATCTTTACTCTGAAGAAAGATTTGCTGGCAATAACATACCTTGTTTCCAGTTTTCCAGAAGAAATCTCTAATGGCCCGTAGCATTACTATAGCTACGGGGAAAGTGGCATTTACAGTTTCTTTTCCAGTAGAGGTCTTAATAAAATCTGATCCTAAAACAAAAGGAAAAAAAAACCCTCCATGTTAATTAAAAACTTATTTTTTACACATCTTAGTCAGTGGAAATTAAAATTGAGTTGGTTTATTTAATGCATAACTGAGATGAATAAAAACAAGTTTGTGCCCCGTGCTTAGTATCATTTATCACAACACTTTACTACAAAACTGGAGTGCCCACTCGTTTTCCCCTCGTTTTCTTATGCGCAACAGAAAGTACTCGGTATGGCTGTGATAAAGCAAGGAAAATCAGCGCTAGCTTATTTGTACCTCGCTGTTCATTAATGAGAGCAGTGTGTCTTCCAACAAGATCAGGAATTTCATGAAAGACATCATACTATTTCATAACCTAGAATTACTATAAACAACTTTCTGTCTCTCAAATGTATCTTAAACCTACTGATATAGTTTAACAGAAGAGCACAGGAGACAAAGAAATGATAATGACGGTTAAGATGCACTGTGCACTGTGCACTATGCTTTATTCTAGGTGCTTTACAAGTAATAACTCAGTCATTCCTCATAACACCTGCAGTAAGTACTGATATGATCCCTATTTTAAAAGATAAAATTGAGATACAGCAAAGTTAAATTGGGACTCCTGGGTGGCTTTGTCAGTTGATCATCTGACTTCGGCTCAGGTCAAGGTCTCGCAGTTCGTGCGATCGAGCCCCAGGTCAGGCTCTGTGCTGACAGCTCAGAGCCTGGAGCCTTCTTTGGATTCTGTGCCTCCCTCCCTCTCTGCTCCTCCCTTGCTTGTGCTCTGTCTCTCTGTGTCTCTCAAAAATAAATAAAACATTAAAAAATTTAAAAAGAAGAAATGTTAAATAACCTGCTTGGGGTCACACAGTTATCAAAGGAGGGGGTAGAGTTCTAACCAAAAAAATACAGCTTAACCAACATGCTATTGTGTCTCCAAGACACTTACCTAGGGTCACAAAGTCAGGTAGCCAAATAGAGATTCCACCTTTCATGTGGTTACCTAACCTTGAACTACTCAACATGCAGACCACAGAGTAGCAGCATGGGTACCACCGGGGCGCTTGCTAAAAATGCAGACTCTCGGTCCTAATCGAGATCAACCGAGTCAGAATCTGAATGTAAACAAGGTTCCTAGGCGATTCTTGTGCAAATTCATGGCACTAGCCCTCTGATTCTGGGGGACCGCAGGTAAGGCTAATGTCTGGGATTCTTCCAAGGTGCATCAAAGTAAGTGGTCAATGGGAATGTTGGAAAGAAATGGTTAAAACTTTCCCCTTTAGTTTCAAAGGGAAAAGATACTTCCACACTATCCTATGAATGAAAAGGTTCAAATTGACACACTTTTGGTAAACACGCTATGTGTAAGGCACGGTGTAAAGTAAAACAACAAATAATTCAAGCCCTTGCCCTCAAAAGCATACATTCTAGATACAGGTGGAGGTGAAACATAAATTTGGGGTAATCATTTGATGAGCTAGAAGTTAGATGACCTGGTTTCGTCTCCTGAACTATCTTACCCATAAAGTATGGCTAAAAATGCTTACTTGCTTCATAATGTTTGTTATACAAGGAATCAAAAGAGACAATCTGTATGAAAAAGCACTTTGAAAACTCTCAAGCATTATACAACTATAAATGAATCAAAGACTTAGGTAGAGTTTCAATCTGTAAAAATGTGACAGAAATTCTGATTTATGAAAGCAGGTCATCAGAAGCCTTTTCTCGCTGTGGGTCTACAGGCCCATTGGAAGAAATGCAAATATATCTGTCATGCAGCAGTCACCTAACAGATACTCACTGAGCTGTGCCAGACTCTGTTCTAGATGCTGAGAACAGACCACTAAACAAGATAATAAAGTTCCTACCCTTGTAAGCAGAGTTTCTAGAAGAGGAGGACAATAAATAAATATATAACAAATGTTAGTGGAGGTAAATGCTATGAAGAAGAAAGCAATGTAATGAGGTAGAGAGTGATGGAGTTGGGGAGAGGTAGCCATATTTAAATAGAGTGATCATAAAGGCATCGCTCAGGAGTGATATTCAAATAGAGACTGAATGAAAGGCATTTATGAAAAGAACATCACAAGCAGGTAAACAGCAAGTGCAAAGACCCCGTGGTGGGCATGCACTGAGTTGATTAATGAATGAACGAATGAATGGATAGGACTACAGAACTAATGTGTGGTCACCACAACAACAGAAATAAGATAATCAAGAAGAAGAAATTAAAGCCCCCCCCCCCCCAAATAGATGGAATAGTCAAGGGGAACATCTCCAAAGAACTCACAATAAGACCAACACCAAGGTATGCTTTCCTAAAGTGTGACACTGTCTTCTGATTCACTAGAAAGCTTTTGGGTACAACACTGGATATCACCTAAATTCTTCCGAGCATCTTAGAAGATTAAGATAAAAGTCCAAGGGCACATTTGGAGGCCTAAGAAAAAAGTATGGTCACTTAAAAATCACACAATTTAAAGTTAACCAAAAGAGCCAAACTCCTTTGAAAGAGTCTGGAGGTTGGATAATGGAGGAGACTCCCCTCCTAACATATCTGGGGGGAGCAGAGCAGAATACCTATCGTGATAGCAACAAAAGCCCAGGAGTAGTAACAGTGGCCTGCATACTGTGTCTATCCCTCTTTCTTAATTGTATTGTAAGCACATTTGAAGGCAGGTGCGATATCTTTCTATGCACTTTGTATCCCCAGAGCATGACACACATGCAAGGCTCAATAATGAATTTTGGATCGATGGATGGATGGGTGGATGGATGGGTGGATGGGTGGATGGATGGGTGGGTGGATGGATGGATGGGTGGATGGGTGGATGGGTGGATGGGTGGATGGGTGGATGGATGGATGGATGGGTGGATGGGTGGGTGGATGGGTGGATGGGTGGNGATGGGTGGATGGGTGGATGGATGGATGGATGGGTGGATGGGTGGGTGGATGGGTGGATGGGTGGATGGGTAGATGGATGGGTGGATGGATGGGTGGATGGATGGATGGATGGATGGATGGGTGGATGGGTGGGTGGATGGGTGGATGGATCAATCGGTAGATGGATGATCACAGCTATCAAGAAAAAGCAAACTACAATATTTCCTACCTTTAACTGACTAATGGGAAAGGGGAGACAGTTTTGAGGTTTATCCCAAATCAGGTGAGAAAACTGGACAGGTGGCTCAGAAGAACATATTATTTATTTTTAAATGAATTTCAAATTTTAGAACAGATCTAAATCTGCCAAAACATTGTAAAGATAGTACAGAGAATCTCCATAAACCCTACACTCAGTTTCCCCTATTATTAAAAACTTAAGTGGTACATTTGTTACAATTAATAAACCAATATAGGTATACTACTATTAGCCCAAATCCGTACTTTATTTAGATATCCTTAGTTTTACTTAGAGTCCAATTGCACCCAGGATACCATAATGTGTACATTTGTCATATCTCCATGGTTTACAGTTTCTTGGACTTGCCTTGTTTTAATGACCATTAACAGTTTTGAGGAGTACTGGTCAGGTATTTTGTAAAATGTCCCTCATTTGGGACTTGTCAGACATTTCTTTCATTTTGATTAAACTGGGGTGATAGGTTTTGGGGGAGGAAGACCACAGAGGTAAAGTGCCATTCTCACCATATCATCTTAAGCATACCTCCCATCGACATGATTTACCACTGTTTATGTTGACTGCAAACACCTGGGAGGTAGGGTGTGCCAGCTTTCTCCACTGCAAAGTCACTCTCTTTTCTCTATTTCCCACACTGCACCCCTTGGAAAGAAGCCTTTATGTGTATCCCACACTTACAGAATGAGGAATTACGATTTAGTACCTTCAGGCGGAAATAATGACATAAATTATGTGGACTTTTTTGCATGAGATTTGTCTGCTTCTATGTACTTACTTACAATCAATTCTAGCAGTACAGACTCAGAGATCCTATATCTGGGTTTATAATCCGGTTCATTATCTCATTGCTCAAATGGTTCTACCTTTGGCCACTGGAGCTCTTTCAGTTGCTTCCTAGATACCTTTGCCACACCTCCACCATGAAGTATGCTTTTTACGCACTTACTCTGGTATTATCAAATGCTCCAGGCTCATCTTTTATGTTTTCTGCCCCTGTCTGAGAGAATAAGCCATTTCTCCAAAGAGCCCTAGTTACTTTTACTAGAGAATGGTATTAGAACCCCAAATCCCGGAGGGAGATGTACACCATTACTGCAGGGGCTTGTTTCTGGCTCTCTCAGCTGCCTAGCAAAGCAATATACATGTGTATACTAACCCACTTATATATATATATCTATTAATTCCATATTTAACTATCTATATTACACTAAACATGCATAATAATGATGTCTCCAACTCTGACCCATCACTGCATGGATCATTCTGGCCCTTTGCCCTGCTCTATATGTAAACTCCCACGTCAACAGTGAGAAATCTGGCACCTAGCATCTGTCATCCATTTCTTTAACTGTGCACATGCAATATCCATGTAGAACACTACCAGATTTGTTACCCACACCATCGGAAATAACTTTATCAACTACTCTCCAGCACTAATGTGCAGTCTCATTTGCCTTTAGCCTCACAGCCACCCCAATTTATAGTGCTATGTGGGTCATCACCTTTCTGCCCACCTCCTTCAGTGAGGCCATTTCACACATTTGTAACCTAGTCAAATTCTTTGCTCAGTCAGCATTCTACCCTGGAATCCCCTGATCTCCTAAATGTTCTTTATTTGCGTACATTAAGGTTCACACCTCGTGAAGCTTCTAGTGGTTCTGACAAACGTGCAGTGTCACGCATCTTCCATTACACTATCACACACATGTTCACAGCTCTGTGCTTCACATTTTCATCTTCTCCCACCCACACTAGCAACCGTTGATCATAAGCTATTGCAACACTTTTGCCTTTTCCAGAATGTCATGTGTTGGAACCATACAGCCTTTCAGACTGGCTTTTTCATTTAGCAATAGGCATTAAAAATTTTTTTA